AAAATTAAAAGTTTTAAAAAAATTTTTTTAAAGTCCCCATCCCAGGGCAGTGCCTGTGGCTCAAAGTAGGGTGCCAGTCCCATATACTGGAGGTGGCGGGTTCAAACCCAGCCCCAGCGAAAAACTGCAAAACAAAAAAAGTCCCCATCCCATCCATGTCGCCACCCCTGCTGAAATGAACTTTGGAAGCAGAGTGAAGGGGGTGAACAGAATGAATCACCTGTACCTGCCTGTCAGTGGGTTCAACTTCTGTCCTACCCATCATGGGAAGAAGCCATCAGCCAGGTTGGGCTGACCGGGCTTATCTGCCCCTGCAAAGAGGAGGCTCAGAATCTTCCCTCCAGAATTCTGAGAACTAGACCAACTTCAAAGAATAACAGTTATGTTAAGGGCAGGCCCTGGTTAAACAATAATTTTTCAGATTTTATTAAAAAACAAAAAAGTAAAGTGCATCTTGTTAAAAAAATATAAAACCCACATAAATTCAGGGGCCCTGTGCTGGGCAGTGTTACTATCCCTTAGAGTGGAGGCAAAGGGTAAGGGGAACTAGGAAGGAGATAGGGTATAGTGAGTTCCCTGTGTCTTGAGTTCAAAAGATGAGGCCAGGGTGGCTGTAGGGAGAATGGACACAGGTTCTGATGCTGAGGTGGAGGAAGGCAGGTGGCAGTCTCCTTGAATCCTGAGGGAAAGCTGTATGCTATCATCAACTCTCCCCTGGGCTCACAATGTCCTCTAGCTCATGTGGCCACAGCCTGATACAGGCTGGAAGGGTCCGGGAGCTGGGCTGAGCCCAGGGTCTGGTGAGGGCTGCTGTGCCAGCCTAGCATGACTGGTCCCTGAGGTGGTGGCATGATGGCCACAACTATATCCTCAGCTGGCTAGCAAGGCTGGCCCCACTGAGCCTGGGCCAGCCCTTGGCTCTGAAGCTGGAAAAGGTGGCCCGAACAGCAGGATAGAACAGAAGGTTGGAGAGGCCAGTTGGTGAGGGGTTTCCAAGTGCCTTGAACACCACCTTACATAAGCCCCCAACATCCCTGGGTGTCACAAGGCTAGGAGGCTAAGAACTGGAGCGGCTGTGTATGTGGAGTTCTGTGCTATGTCTTTTCCTTCTTGCTCTGGTTTCACATTTTGAATTGTTTTTAAACAAAGGGCTCAGTTTACATAAGGACCAGTGTTCTGTCCCTTATCAGGCTCCAGCTGCAGCCAGGACCTTTGGGTCACAATGGCCTGGCTGGAGGAACCACCCTACTTGGCTGGAGAGCAGCAGGCCAGCTGGCATCACGCTGTGTTCCACGAAGGAGAGTGTGCAGGTCCAGCAGACCCCTCTGAGTATTTGAGCCCCAAAGTCAAGGCAGCCACTTCCAGAAGTCAACACTCACACCACAGAGTCACGGATCTCAGAGCCTAGGCGGACCCGGGGTCGGGGGCACACTGGGGATACCTCCACGAAGCTGTCCTGGATGCTGAGTGGCCTCTTCTCTGATTCAGTGAAGACTCGGGGCCCTGGGGAACTGTCCGACAGGGTCTGATAGCCCCGGTGGTCCAGTGGGGTGTTTGGGGGTCCTATGCCATTGAGGGGGCGGGTCTCAGGTGGCAGCACCACAGGACGGGATTTGGGGTGCACACTGGCACATTCACCCTGCTTTAGGAACACTTTCATGTTGTCACGGTGCCGGTAGAGGAAGAATAAAAAGAGAAGCACCACGGCAAGCCCAAACAGTGCACACATCACCAGGAACTCGTTCCAGTAGGACTTGTCTGCGCCCCAGCTGCCCTTGCCACTGGCTGGCGCGCTCACACGAGATGTATTGATGATGACGGGCACGCTGCCACCCTGGTCTGTTTGCTCCCCCCTGTCTTCCACCACCTCTGGGCAATACCTGGCCACTAGCTGCTGGAAGCCCTCCTCTAGCGACCAGCACTGAAATTCCCCCAGCACCTGCTGGCTGCCCACCAGCAACAGGTCCCCCGTGGGCAACACACGGCAGGATGCTGAGGCATTGACAGGGGCCCCGTTGTGGAGCCAGAGCCTCGTTGCCAGGTTGGAGAGGAGAGGGCAGGCCAAGGTGTTCACTGTGCTGGGCTGGAACTGGACTTGCTCACAAGGCTTCTCGCCTGTAAGCAGAAGAGGCGTGGGGTAGAGAGGGCTGACATCCATGGTAGCTCCAGGATCACCCGCCCCCAGTGGTATACTCCCACACTATGGAGGTGACTGAGGACTTCTGGGGATGCAGTGTGAGGAAGGCATTTATACCACCACTGCCAAGGGGAGCCTTCCAAGCAGACTTGGCTCCTACCTCCTCCCTCCACCCTTTGTGGGGACACCTCACCTGTTGGTACAAAAGACCGAGGCCTGACCAGAGAGGTATTGCAGAGGCCCTTGGCACTGGCTCCCTCGATGTCCTGGATCCATGGCCTGAGGACCAGAGAGAGTTCGGAGTAGACCAGGAAGCCCTGTGAGCCTCTACTCCCTCAACCTGAATGTTGAATGGGGCCTGGATAAGGGATCTGGTACACAGGAACTGGCCCAAAAGCCCAAAGTTGGGTGTGAGAGGCTTCCTGTACTGATTCCCCACCCCACAGAGTTTGAGTCAGTACCTCCCTTGTGTACACATCACTTCAAACAAAAGTCACTGCAGACCAGTGGCTCATGCCTGTAATTTGAGTACTTTAGGAGATGCAGGTGGGAGGATTGCTGTGGCCAGGAGTTCAAGCCCAACCTGAGCAAAAGTGAGACCCCATCTCTACTAAAAGCTGAAAAACTATCTGGGCATTGTGACAGGCACCTGTAGTCCCAGCTATTCTGGAGGCTGAGGCAGGAGCATCACTTGAGTGCAGAAGTTGGAGGCTGCTGTAAGCTATGATACCATAGCACTCCAGCCCAGGCAACAGACTCTGCCTCAAGAAACAACCACCCCCCCAAACGAATACTAACTCAATGTACTCAGGAAACAGAAAATCAAGCACAAAGGGAAAAAACACTACAGAAATCACACATAGCCTGTCATCCAGTTATCTTGACAGTTAACTTTTTTTTTTTTT